AAACGAAAATCCTTACAAAAACCAATACTTGAAAATACTCTGTTAAATTCAATATAAATATATCTGTCAAGTACTAATGAGACTAAGGTGCTCAAAATGTGCAGGGTATATACATTACAAATGTCAGGTGAATTGTGAATCCTTAATGGTTAATCTAAATCTATAAAGAGAACCAACTGTGTATGTCCGAACCAAGTTCACTTTTAACGGTTTGAAAAAATTTGGGCATTCGTGTTGATTTTGTCAGTTCATGGGGGAGGGAGGTGTTGTAACCAGGTTAGATTCTGTTTTATTCCATCATTCCTATTCAGTCAATTTGGATTCCACTTGATATGAAGTGCTTCTGATATTAGACGTTCTTTGTGGTTTCTGAAGTTTTTCTGGATTATTTCGAAATTGTCGAAATCAATTTTGTGGCCTGATTCTATATCGTGTAGACTTATGGCCGATGATTTTTCAAGTTTTTGTATTTCAACTGGATTTCTCGGTGGTCGAAGAGATGCTCTATGGTGTTCATTTCTTCTGATTTTAATTTCTCGAGATGTTTGTCCGATGTAAATCGCATCACATTCCAAGCATTTTATTTTATAGACACAATTAGGTAGAGAATCTTTCGGAATTTGGTCTTTTATATGGACAAGGTTGCTTTGAGGTGTGTCTGATGTTTTGAAGGAAACTGTGATTTAGTGCCGATTGAGTACTCTTCTGATATCGTCTAACGTCTCTGCTCTATATAGAATGACGACTGTTGATGTCCATGTTTTCGGAATGCGTTTCCGGCCGTACTTAATGTCTCTGTTGATTTTATTGATGGAGTTCCTTGGGTAGTTGTTTCGCTTGAGAGTTTCAGTAATGTTTGATATTTCTTCTTCTTTTTCTTTCTCATCCGTTATCAGAGAGTGTGCTCGTCTAAGAAGACTTGAAACAGCTGATACCTTTGCGCTGATAGGGTGTGATGATCCGAAGTCTAGATATTTATTGGAGTGGGTTTTCGTCCTGAATATGGATATACTAAAATGTCCGTTTTCCCTCCTCTTAACTAGCCAGGCAGTCTAGAAATGGTAGTTCACCGACATCTGATTCTGCTTCTGAAGTGAACTTGATTTTCGGAGATACACAGTTTATTTCCTCCAGGAATACACTGTGTAGATCTCGTTTTAGTACCACAAAAGTATCATCCACATATATTAACCATATTTTAGGAGTGAGTATGTTTGAAAGATGTTATTTTCGAATCTATTCATGAAAAGGTCGGTGACTATTGGGGAGACTGGTGAACGCATAGCAACACCATTTGTCTGTCTATATAAATTCCCTTTAAATGTAAAGCAGTTACTTTCTAGACAGAATTTTAAGCTCTTGATTATTTCACTGGTGTCCAGTGGACATCTTTGTGATAGTGTTGTATCTGATTCTAGTAGACTGGAAATGATATCAAGACTTTCGGCAATAGGAATGCTAGTATATAATGAGTTAACATCATAGCTTACCATAATGTCTTCTTTATCAATTTCTCGGTGTTCTATTTGGGATTTGAAATCATATGAATTTTTTACAATATACTGAGTGTCCTTTTGTAGTGGTTGTAGTATCAAAAATAAGTATTTGGAGGGTTATATGTTGGTGAGTTGGCAATATCTACTACTGGTCTTAATAGGACTGTGAGTTTATGTATGTTTGGTTGACCGTAGAATGGTGAAGGTACACAAGATTTTGGTTTTAGTGTAAACCAGAGAGAATTTCCAATTTTGAGTTTCATTTCTTGAAGGAGTCTGTTTGTATTTAGTTTCATTTTGTTGAATTAGGCGGATTTCTTCTTCTCTTCAGTGTGTAAGTATGGTCCTTCAGATAGATGTTCAATCACCGAAAATGACCCTAGACTAACGAACGATGATCAAGTTAGTAAATTTTGTTTGATATCATAACAGATGTACTATTACCTTTGGTATTTGGTTTAGTGATCTCCATTGTTATTTTGGCTTTCAATATGTCCTTTTAAATTGACCTAAGTCTATTTTCTCGCCTCTTAACTCTTTGCTATATATATGCTGAGATTTTGTGAATTCCGGTTTAATAATACTTTGATAAAGAAAGGTATTAGCATTAAATAGCGAAACGTTAGTAAAAACAATATCGTTTTGTTTTTCATTCATTGGGAAATACAAAAACCTTTATTATAGAGAACCAACTGATTTGAATTTCTGAAGACAGCATAACTGACTAATATTACGAATATTTTTTAGAAGTTTTGCTAATTTGTAACAAATATTTCTAGACAAGTAAAGTTATATTGAAGAAAAACATACTTTGAACAAAGTAAATCTATGAGTTGCATATCATTAGCAAACAAAAAACTTAATGTCAATAAATATGATTTTCAAAAGGCAATACTACTCATCGTTCAAGTGGGATGTAAACATTTCGCGCTATCTCGTAGAAAGAATATTCTCACGCATAATAGTCTTAGTTAACGCATGTTCATTGAATCTCAAAAAGCGAAATGAAAATGTTGATGTTCCAGACACTTATGTAACACAAGTCATCTACTTATCCGCAAGTATATTTAAAATAGTTGTGTTTTGCTTAAGTATCTTATTTGCTAAAATTACAAATAGTGACTTTAAGAGTTATAAACCCAAGGCAAATTACTTCCTTATTTTTCAAGTATTTCAAGGATAGATTAGTATGAAGATAACTGCTGCAAACTACTCACTACTTGAATTTCTACAGTTCAACTATTCGTGAGTAGAGGTAAGTGTTAAGCATGAGTACGGTGAGTAATAACAATCTCATGTAATTTCAGGTGTTAAATCTGACGTACAGTGACTGACTGATGTAGCTTCGTAGAAGTTTGCATATTTAGCATAATTTCTATTACATTTCGAAAAGTAGACAAAAATAGAAGAATGGAAACACAGTGATGGTGATCTACTGCCAGTCTTCTTAAATAATCACATTTTATTAAACACATCCATCGTCTTCATCATACAACCAATGTATACATACTATTATGGTGTTAACTGTTTTCGATCCTGTCTTGTGTCCCAACTTACAAGACCAGTAAGTATAGCTCATTGGGTCACTGAGATAATAACAGTCTAACCTTCAAGCTACGGTAACAGTTATCAGTAGGTTGCTGCCAGTCAGAAGTATCATTTAGTCAGTTATATTTCCAGTTCAACTTATTTTTCAAACAATAAAAACAAATGGTCATGACTGGCGCTTCACAACCTATACGGCAGTAAAATTCGTTATGAGTTGCTTCTGAATATCCGGACACAGAAATTTTATAGTCTACCGGTTAAATTTAATTACTTTACAGTTAAATAATATTACAACTGTAATAAATTTCCTGGGTCTAAGATTACATTAAAGCATATGCTTACTTGATAATAATCTAGGCGATTATCTGATAAAGGTTTCTTACTGTGTTTAGACAGTCTATGCAATAAAAATTTATAACTACCATATGCAGTGACCATATGCCAAGTATGGCGAACTTACTTGTGTTCAATTTGTTATCAATATTGATCAGAAGATCTAATAACTGCATAATAAGACAAATTTTTTAAAACGTCAATACACTGTCTTCTAATATGCTTTTTCTAATCAAAATACTGAAAAGGCTATTTATAGTAACTTCAAACTACGAATAAGTTCAAAAATGATCCAAATGAATGGCTATTAATTTAGTTCCTCTTATAAAGATTGCTACAACTTGTAGATGTTGGTTTCTGATAGTTACACTTCTAATGATAGAGTATGTACAGTTTTGAAGCAATTTGATCGCTGTCAAATCAGCAGAAGTGCAGCTATGCACAGATGTATTTTCGAAGTGTAAAAAGTACAAATCACTATCAGCGAGAGAAACTTGAAAGAAGTCACTTCCCTCACTTATCCGGCTATGAAGCATCGTTTCAACCACACGTGACAGCATGGGTGAAGCTGTCAACGTTAGCCAGAATCCAGAAGACAAGATACACTTTCATCAATATGAAATCAGTTTGGAAAGCTTCTCTACTCAGCATAAGGGAAAAAGAAACTGATTTTCACTACGAATGTGAAGTCAGTTAGTTCCTCAAGATGCATTAGAAACATGGCTCACGCTTCACGAAAGAGATTTCCAACAGCTACCTTCACTTGCTCCGTTTTGAAGATCAAATGGTCAGAAACAAGAAACTGTAGGTACACACCAACGAGAACCTATCACTCAACAGATATGTAGGAGAATATAGAGTTGGATTGGACACACGCTGGAGTAACCGTCGAATGACGTCTCGTTTCAGGCTGTTTCTCGAGTTTATTTTTATTTATTTTTGAATACAGCCTGATTCCACACCGTATTTTTGGTACAAGTGTGGAATTTTCAGCGTGGATATCGGTAGCCCAAATTTCGCAGACCGACCATAGATATCAGGTGTGCGTCGGCGTGGGCTCGAACTCCGGACCATGTGCATGGTCGGCGGGAGTCCTAGCCATTGTGCCACCAACGCACCCGAATGGGAAACAACAAGTTGTGCCTGGTTTCGAAGGTGATATGGAGGAGACGATGAGAGCCTATAGACACAATCGTGAAGCCAACTAAAGAGAACCTCAGAGAACGTGAGAAAGTGGAGATGTGCTGTTGAAGCTTATGTCCCACTGGGAAAAATAATAATTCAATGTTAAAATTTGAATTCCATAAGAACTGGTGAGGGCTGAAGATTTAAGGACTCATGAGCGATAGAGACAAGGTTCACTAGGTGATTGACATATAGTATTATTCTTTACCAGAGTCTTGTATTTCATGAAAACGCAACATGAATAAAAGTGACGCACGACTGTTTTAACATGTGACTATTGGTTATAGTTGAAACAGTCAATTCTATTATTTTCACTGTTTTTAAAAGTCTATGTTAGTGAAATAATCACATTTATTTGCAAGCTGTATTCAAAAGTTATTCCTTCATTCAAAAAGTCACATGCTTATGGAATGTAGTTCTTGGTAAAATTAACAATTTTTAATTATCAAATGGGTAATTCATTTTTCCGGCGAACCGTTTGCCAAGACGTAAAAACTGCACACGTTTTTGAATCTCCCTCGAAATCGGATTCATGTAGTCATCATAACCACTAAAGGCATCACCATCATATCCAATTGGATTTCGATAACTTTCTGCAATTTGACTTAAAAGAAATACAGAGCAGAAAACTGCCAGTAGTATTTGTACGGACCTTTTAGGAAATAAGAGAAAAAATTCAATTAGATATGATATCACCAAATTATGTATTATAGGGGATAAATGTAATTAGTCCTTTTTAGAATAGAACATTACCACTGACGAATTCACACTCAGAGGCTTCTTTTCAAAAACCCTACAGTATAAAATGATACATCACTAACTTCTGTTAGGCAAGTAAATTCGTTAACTGCCATTTCCTCGCAAAGCACAGTGATTCATTGATGTCAGTTAAAGGAACAAATGAAAACGCATGTCTTAGTTATGTAGGAAATAAGTAGTTAGAATATCAATATATGTGTAAAACTTGGGTACTGTGGTAGTAAGTATTTTGTCAGTTTATGTAGACGTATACCAATAAATATGGCTATAGACGCAGTCAGAAACGAACTCATTTCTGACCAAGAACTCGAATTTAGGACAAAAGTGCCACTTGAGGATATAATGCTGGGAGTGCAGCTTTGCCTGACTTCTACAGTATTTAAATTCCAAGGGAAAATATACAAATAAACTGAGGGAGTTGCCATGGGATCACCAATATCCCCGGTTGTAGCAGATATATTCATGGATAGATGGGAAAAGATAGCGATTGAAACGTTCACCCCCACCTCAAAAGTATGGTGGAGGTATCTAGATGACACATTCACTGTACTTAGAACACAAGCTATAGATAGATTTTTCGAGCACATCAACTCGAAGGTAGAGGCAATTCAATTCACTTATGAATTGGAAAGTCAGGAAGGGGAACTTCCAATGTTAGATTGCAACGTAAAAAGAAAAGAAGATTGGAAGTTAAACACTAGTGTTTACAGAAAACCCACACATTCAAACAGATATTTGGATTTCCGATCATCCCATCCTATGTCAGTAAAAATAGGATTAGTGAAATGTTTAAATGACAGAGCACAAAAACCAAGTAGTACCAAGGAAAATATAAGACAGGAAGTGATACCTATAAAAGAAGCCTTGAAACTTAATAACTACCCGGATAAATTAGTCAAGAAATATGTAAGTAAATGTGAAAATAAAATAAATAATAATAGCGATAGTGATAATAATAATAATGATAATGATAATAATAATAATGGTAATAATAATAGTGATAATAATATTAATGACGACACCAACAATAAGGAATCTAAATCATCAACAGTAATTCCATACATGGAAGGAACCTCGGAAGCCTTACGCAGAATTCTTAACAAGGCAGGAATAAAAGTAGCATTCAAACCCACAAACTCAATTAGGAACAAGCTTTGTCAGTTAAAGGATCAGTCCTGTGGAGCCTTTAAAACAAAACAATTTAGTTTATCTAATACCCTGCAATGATTGTGAGGTCAAATACATAGGTCAAACTAGTAGAACAGGGGCAGTCAGACTAGCCGAACATAAAAACCTAGCTAAATCTAGAATGATTGACCCAAATAAGATAAGAAATCTAGAGAATAGTTCAGCTATAGCACTACATGCAGTTACACACAACACAGCCATACAACAGAATCCGATAGGATGACACTTTCAAAATATAATGTCACAGGGTATAGGGAGAGATCGATAACAGAAGCTTTGTTTATCGAATCAACTGCGAATACATGTAATAGAAATGATTCAGCACCTGCCCCAGATATATGGAAAATTCTACTACCATTACAAAAAATAGGAGAAGATAAAGAAAACTATAAAACTAAAATTTCAAAGTCGTGCGGTCAAAATTGATATGATTATGAACAATAAATTGTGTTCGAACCATCATCCAGGATATAATACTGTTTCACTGTGTGATACATCTAATAAACAAACTAATATTGAGTTAGAATATCAGTCATACAATAAAATCTTCCTAGTAAATTATTGTGCAAAGCAGAACTATATATTTACATGGATTAGAAAGGATAACGCTTTCAAGAATAAGATTGATAAGTACACGTTGGTTTTAAAGCATACTTCATGAGTACTGAAATTAATTTGAATCATCTCCCATTTTCTGATGAATTTAACAGTTGGTGAGGAATATATAGTTTAAAAATACATAAGAACTGTGAAATATTAAGCTTATCGAGAGCCATAATCATGATTACATGTGTTATGTAATCTGTTCAATTCAACGACAAAAAGAAACTTATTGGAGAATAGTTTTCAAACTAGTTGGATCGGTATATTTCTGAAATCTTTTAAAGTTGTTATTTCATTAAAATTTTGACAAAACTACTAAACAAAATTATGAGTTCGAAGTGCATCTCTCCCCCCACCACACACACACCTTAGTAAAAGTGTTCAGCCTACCAAAATCCCAGATGTCAGTGTTTGTTTGGAAGACGTACCCATTAAAAAATTCAGCGTTAATGAAGAGTCCCAAAATAGGACGAAACAACTATCTATTACTCCTAGTTGGCTTTCCAATGGTTCCCTAACCGATGTCAGCTTATGATAAAATCCTCCATCCAATAAAATACAAACATTATTTCGTTGGGTATTTTAAATGTTAGTTTGTATAACTTTAGTGAAGAGATTCGTCAACCGTAACGAGGATGTGCATTGTAATATGGAGTAATATTTCTGTCTAATGAATTAATTTAATTAACTCTGGAAGTAATCATTCATGTCTCAGCTATACATATATTTTATAATCAACTCCAATTTTCGTTATAAACTATTTTTTCGGGATTCATGTATACAAAATTTACTACAGTAAATTTGTTTTATTAATTAATAAAAATAAATAACAGACTTTTATTTTACAAAAAAGAATTTACGGGGAATAATAAGCCAGTTCTGGGATAAAAGAAAATAACGGTTAAATGAAATCGAACAGGAACCACCTACTTCCGCTGTAATAATAACGACATGATCTATTTAAATCTGTGTTCACACGGAAATAATTCATCACGCAAAAATTTCGCTTATTCAATATGCAAATGAAGTCTTGGTAAAATGATATGCATAAAAGATCCAATCACTTACTTTTTTTCTCTTCCAGACAAAAATGAAAATAGCTATGTGGAGCCAGATAGTACGTTAAATTCATGAAGGTTGGAAAAATTGAAGCCGTTCAACTTTATATCCCAATTACATGAACGAGAAAAAAAGGTAAATTCACGAACAAGATTTATGTATGAGAAGCTATTGAGTGTTGGTTTGAGTAATGAGAGGAATGGTCATTCACTAACTAGTCTACTTGAGTTAGAATCTAAAACATCCCGCTGAACTATCTGAAATCAGTCTTTTAATTAAAATTTGTTCAGCGTTTTTAGGCTACAGTCAGCGGTAATTTCGATGAATTGTAAATGTTTTGCATTTGACTGTCTGGCATAGCTTTGAATTGATTAACTAACGTTGATGCAGTGGATGATGTTTAAATGTGAAAATACTGGTCACGGTAGGATTTAGACTAAGACTGCTACTTACCTCATCTTATAGACAAACTTTTAAAAAGATCATTTGATCTGTTGAAAATTTTGGAATAAGAACTGGCTTATTAGATACCATTTCTGATGAATTTGACTCATAGTATAAAAGAAGTAAACAATTGAGCACCTAACCACCTCTTTATTCATTTCATACGAATACTTTGCTCTCCGATATGACTAACATACCCGCTGAATTTGCTTTAACATAGTTTTAGAGGCGTTCGATACCTCCGACTGTTGATCAATGAACTCAGCTTCACAGAGTTGTCTAGAGTTTAAATCAATGCCTACATTAAAATGTATGAAATTTCTACTAACACTAAAGTCTTAATTATTTTTATATACAACACACTGTTTTGTGAGTCTCTCAGTTCTTGTTTATTGTTATAGACCAAATTTTGTCTTCTATTATGCTCCTTACTAAATGAATCAACTGGTGGCATTCCAAATAATGTTTATTCATAGAAGAAATGTTACACTGTCTAGAGAATTCATTTTGGTTTCTCTTTTAAATAAGGCGGTACAGTCATTATCGACATATTTTTTCTTATGTTTGGAAACCTTAGCTTTACGCATGTGGAAGTTCAAACAGTAGAGATCATAACGATTAACATTTTGATATCTTTCAGATAGCTGTCCCTTTCCTTATACATATATGTCAGTGTATTTGGTGTACAATGAATGATGTGCCCCACCTACTGCTTCAATGTTTCTTTTCATTTCAATAAATGATTAGTATTTAAGATAGAAGTTATTGAAGCCTTTATGTTACTTTCAGCCTTTATTGTTTATATACACTTTCCATGGACTTTATACTATGATCTATCAACTATATCTTGTCTACTGGAAGATATTTTATTTTTTTCCTACAGAATAAAGTTCCAAGGAGTCGATAATATGACTACTACTAAATAAAATGGATTCATATTATGCAGCTCAGGTTATTCTTATTTCACTTCTCAAGTTCATTAGTGAAAATGACAGCATGAAGCACACACTAAGTATGAGATGTAAAGCTCTGATAGTAGAATCTAATTACAATCATACTAGGCTAAATCTGGTGAAGCTTACAAATTACTGACAAGTTCAGCAATACATAACTGAAACATATCTAAAAAGCATATTGTGACGCTGTTAAATTTCCGTTTATTATCTTTCAAGAATGCTTGTAAAAAGCGTTTTAAAACAACACGAAGAATTTAGACTCTCTTCAATAAATGATCTATCAAATGATCTTTATTTACAGTTAACTGAAAATATTATTTACTCAAGAAATTCTGTTTGTTCAGCTGGACTGCGAAAGTAAAACATACAGATACTCCTAGTTTCTTGAAAAATATGACATGAATCATTTGGATAAGACGACTAAAAAAGAGGCAGTGAGCGAAAGGCTAAAGTGAATTGGCAACCACTGAAAAAAATATTTTAGTACGCTTATTGAGTAAGCACATTTTTGATTCTTCAGTAAGAGTAAAGGGCTTAAAATCTTTCATAAACTTTCTCTATTCACCCACTTCAAGAAATCTGCTTTATAACTAGTCCCAAAGAAATAAATATTTGTGCATCCATAATTTTTCACAGTGCGTCG